ATAAATTATATCAATTGAGATAATTTTCAGTTTTAATTTTAATAAAGCTTATTTCTTTATTTATTAAATAGTGAAAAAATCTAAAGTGCTATAGTATAGAACAGAGATATTTAAATATATAATTGAGATTTAATGAATTACAAATAAATTAATAATAAAATAGAGAATAATTAGTTTTAAATTATTAATCTTAAAGATAACGCATCTCTAAGTTATACTGTACTTAATAAAATATGTATAAAATATAAATAATAATAAAAAATAATTAATACGAATTTAAAAATAATAAATAAAAAGAAAAAGAATAAATAAAAAGAAAAGTAATTAAAAACAAAGTATATCTAAATTAATAATGTGATCTATATTTTACATTTAATTTATTTGGCAAAATATTAAAAAGTATTAAATATAAATCTATATTAATTTTTAATATATTATATAAAAAATGATAAATATAACATAAAAAATGATAGATATAATACAAGAAATTACAAGAATATATGAAAATTGTTATATTATAATTTATAAATATAATTTTTATTTAAATATAACTTTTATAAAATTTTATTATAATCATATATTAAAAATTCTTAAACTATTATTCAAAATTATATATATAATATTTATAATAAATATATTAAGATAATTATATAAATAACAAAAATCTAATTTTTAAAAGAATATAAAAAGAAGTTTTATTGATTACTTATTCTACAATATATATAAATCTAGTTTTTTTGAATAAATAAAAATAAAAAATAATTAATTATAAGATTATAATTAAAAATTATTATTTTTAAATACTTATTCTAATATAATTTTAATAATAATAATATATATTTTTATAATAAATTAATATACAAATTTATGTTTACTATTTATCTTTAATTCTATTAATTCAATATTTGCTTATTTACTTATTCACTTATTCATTTATTTACTTATCTGTTTACTTATTTATTTCAAATATAAGAAATATTTATAATTCAATAATATTTGAATATGAAAAATATTTAATAAAAATTCATTATATAATAATATATTATGTAAAAAAATATTCTTTTACAATATATAAAAATTTAAATCAATTTGAATTACTGATTACTAAGAAAATTAATATAAATAATAATTCAAATTTGGTCAAGTTCAATAAAATTTGAATTACTATTTAATATATAAAAATCTAGACTAATTTGAATAACTAGTTATCAAGAAAATTAATATCTAGACTAATTTGAATAACTAATTATCAAGAAAATTAATATAATATAGAATATCTAGTCCCACAATTTTTAATTTAAAGCCATTATTAGACTTAAACTGCAATTTAATAGGATTTTTTAAAAAAATTTATTTATTAAAAAGTAATAAGAATTTAAACTTTCTTGATTTCATTATAATTATATCTAATTTGGTCACTTAATTTTAGCCAGCATTAAAAATAATGTATTAGATTTTGGCTAGCATTAAGATTGATATTAAATTAATATTGGAACTGTGTAGAAGTAACAAAAATGAAGATAATGCTAGTTGTCGTCGCTTACACAGGTAAAAAAGGGGTGATACACTAATGGTTTTTTTGTGAACCCTAGGATTTATTGAAGTTCATATCGATATGATTTTCTATGAATCATTCTTATGTCATTTTTCATTTTTTTTTAAATACAGTAATCACTAATAAAATAAACTCAAAAATAGCTTCTAAATTTTGAATACTCATGATTGTAGTGAATGTTTTCGCTGTCAAAACAATCACTACTGCAAAACATGTTCAGTTCACAATACTCATGATTGCAGTAAATGTTGGAGTTGTCAAGAAAACGAGTGTGTATTCTAATATTACCAACGAATTTATGAAACTGAATAGTCTAACGAAAGTAAAGATATCGACTGTCTAATAAAAACTGTGATAAATTATATTTAATATTATTTTCTATTGGTTTCATTAATTCATCACTATTTTTTCTTTGGGATTGCAAAACAGATTTCGATTTTAGTGTTGTATTTGTTAATATTAATATTATTGCCTATTAAAAATAATACCTGATACGGTGTATTCACAAACTCTTTAATTGGATTCAGATTGAATTGTGATTTTATTATAGATCTGTAAATGACCATATAAAAGACCCCGGGTCTGTTACATTCCACGATTCAGAACCTGTATTATACCCGGGGGTCTATTACAGTGAAACCTCTCAAAGTGCGCCCCCCTCGAGATCATAGTAAAAACAGACAGAGTGTGCGCTTAGAGAGGGTGTGCATTTATAGAGAGTAAAATATGTATATGTCTTATAACTTGTAACCAAGCCATACCGTGCATTTAGAGAGAATTTATATCGTGCGTGCATTATAGAGGGTGCACTTAGAGAGGTTTTACTGTATAACCATTATTTTTCTACTTTTAAAGAATGATTACATTATTCAACTTTATATAATATACCTGGTTTTATTAAATTTGCTGTGTTAATAGCCGACATTTTACACCGAGTACAATACAGGGAAAGGGGGTCTACTATTAAAGGGGTTCTTTTATATAGCAATTTACGGTAATTGGTTAGAATTCAATCTGAAGTTCATGAATACACCCAGTGAATTTTGCATTGTCCGCCCGACAACCTTTTTCTTAAGCCATTTCATCTTTATTTTAGAAAGCGTCAATTAGCATTTAGAAATATAGCCACTAACAAACTTAGTGTTGGTAAAATATCCAAGTTTTAAAAATACCATAACAATAATTGCCAAAATGGTCCAGTCCAGTGACTTCTGGTTACGAAACGTATGTATATGTCGATCATTAATTGCGGTTTTTGCGGATAGGAAATATTGGGCTTATAAAATTACTAAGTCCAGCGGCACAGTATTTGCTTTACTTGTTCCATAGTGCTGCTATCGAATTCGCAGAGGATGTGATTCGGACAACTCGATAATCGGGTCATCTGAGGAATCACCCCAACCAAGAAAATACTATTGTAATACATTTGTTACGATACAACAGGATTTTGCGTTTTCGTTTCAGTGATTAAGAGGAGAATATGTCAGCCAAGTGAACATGAAAAAATAACCCATACTAATATAATGCTTTACCTCTACAGCGCTATGCATGTGTACGATGTTTGTGTAGTTCCTTTTTCAAAGTCATATTTCTTGACTTTTTGTACTAAAACAAGCACTTCTTCAGTAAGCACTGAATAGTCGATAGCTCCATAACCTCGGGTTCCGTCGATCCACTCTTCGGCCTTGAGTAATAATTTTTATCTTCTTGGAGATGTGTAACATTAAAGATGAACTCTCGACTGGTTGGTTATTAACAGTATCGAAATGCTTTTTCCTTTACTAAGGTCGAACAATAAGTTGAGCAATGGTCTCATCAGGGGTTGGGGGAGGGTCAGGTCATACAAAATGATCGAACCCTTGTGATGCAAGAACTTCACCAATCGCCCAATCGCCATATGCCTTCCCTCCTCTATACATATAAACTGATACCTTAAAAATATTCAAAGTATTAACATCGATTGAAACGCTGACTTTACATTCAATTGGAATTCGTTTTATTTTTGTCATACATGAAACAATTTTAAACTTCGATTCAGCGATGGTATGGATGAGATACCAAACCCCTGCTATAATGCAGAAAACTAGATCTAAACTATGAGTTGAAAGATTGCAACGAACAATGACTGAAATTGGGGTAAGAACGGGGCAAATTAGTAAGGTATAAGAGCAAAAAAGGTTACAACTTACCACTCGAACTTGAGAGTGGGTGTCAAATAGCGGATTTGTGCGATCATTGTATATCACATTTTGAACTCCCTCTTGAGAATAGGTTTGAGCCTATATAAAATTTGCAATACTTTCGTACTGAAACTTTACGCAGTAAATATTACTTATTCACTACGTATTCATTATTCATTATTCATTAAAGTATTATCAGAATGTCCAACGACGGAATGTCCAAGTTCAATAATAACGATGTGGATGCTACTCGAAGGGAAAGCAAGTGCTGCAAATTCCTATTCTCAAGGGAGAGTTCAGTGAACTTCGAAATGTGATATCGTGTTTGTCGTCTACAATGATCGCACAAATCCGCTTCGTGGTGGAATGTCACTTACATGCCTGAGGACGACTGATATATCACCACTTGTTGTGCAGTATCCATTGTCAGATTGCACAGGTATTATTATTCTTCTTCTGTGAGATCGGCTTACTGACAAGTTAGTTGTAGTCAGAATTCGTTGTGATCTTTCGCAATCGTGGTTCGAGCAAGATTACGTGGACTTTGGTATGAAGGATGCGCCAAATCTCGCAAGAAATGACACAAACTCTTAATGGATGTGAATTTTATTTCACATAATATAAATTGGTCATAGAAATCAAATCGTACGCTGAACAATCCGCAAGATCGTTATCATAAGGTAGGCCCTCCGTAAAACTGTGTAGTGGTTGCCAATTACTCTGATTTCATAAGATTAAATTCTAATACAAATAACCACAACACCGCCAAAACGTTACTTTCTACTCGGGTATTCGTCCATCTGGTTCTGCGCAAGAAATAATGCTATTACGAATAATACTAATAATAATAATTATGTAAAATCGTGTTTGTTCAAAGATCAAATGGGGCCTGAGATATCCACCACCCTATATTTTTTTTCTGAACTTTCAGCTAGAGTATAAAATATTTTTATTGATTATAATTTTGACAATATAAATATATCGATAGAGCTCGACCAATTTTACGATCGGAATTTAGCTTCGAGTTGCATTAATGCGAGCGGACAAGAATTAACGTTACATATGCGTTATCATCACCAAAATAGCATTTTCCATGTTACACACAAATTTATATTTTTTTTAACCACACACATATAATTATTTAATTAATTTATTAATTAAAAGATTAAAATAAAGTGTGTTGTTGAATCAAAGATGAGATATATAATGACGTGGAGTGATAGGATGAACAGAATAAATGCAAAAAGATAAAAAGAAAAAGAATCCAAATAAAAATTAAGAAAAGCAATAGTAGTAGTTTAATAATAGTGACAAGCGAACAAATCGATCAATTATTTTTCAAATAGTGTAATAAAAAATATAATGCAAAATAAATTGTGCAGTGAATCATAAAAAAAAGATAAAGGATTTTTTTGAGAATTTTTCTATGTCTAAAGAATACTATTACTTGTATGAAACCCAATTGATGACCCTTTTTCCTAATCAAAATATAAACATGAATTTTTTTAATAATAAGAAAAAAGGGTACGTACATACAGTGTTAACCTATTTACATTAATTGACAAAGATATATTATCATCTTTCTCATCATCACAACAACTGCAAATACGATATAGCAGAAGAGAATCTTCAGACTTCATTATCTTCGCGTTTTCTCTTTGACACTTTAATATCAGCTTCTTCCGATTTGTTTGTCTTATTGGTATTCGCTGCTTCCGTGTTCGCAGCAGATGATTTTGACGTACTTGGTCTTCTCATAGTTAGTGGTTTTGTAGCACTCTCTTTGCGAGAATTTCTTCGTGGAGTTTTAGGAGTTGTTGCTGGAGACGTCGCTGGAGATGGTGTCGTAATCGTGGCTGCAGCTGGGGAAGAAGCTGATGGTGCTTTGGTGTCATTGTTAAGAACAGGGCTTGCTCTTGGTGTTTCATCATCGTCTTCTGTGGGTCTAGTTGGTGACGATGAATGACCATTTGTGCCATTTGTATGTCCATTCAACTGATGTGATGATTGCTGTGAAGGTGGTGATGATGACGACGGTGGTGGAGATGGTGTTTGATGTTGTTGAGGGTGTTCTTGCTCTTGTTGTGATGATTGATATCCATTATTAGCGTGATTGTGATGATGATCACCATCGGAATGATAACCACCATGATGCGTGGCAGCACTATTAGCAGGATGACTATTTGGATGTTGATGATGATACATTTGGAATCCTTCGACATATTCGTGTGAATGGAAACCAGGCGAGGTTAGAGGATGAGGCGGGATTTCATTTGATGTTGGTATTTCAATTTTCATGAGTTTAGTAGCGTTACCATTCGTATGAACATTATGTCTTGGTTCAAATGAAGAAAATGCTGAATGTGGTGATGTACTTGTACCTGAAATGATAAATAATGAATTTGGCATATAAAGCATAATAAAAATTAATTGATTAACAAAAAAAATTAATACCATCAATGGCATGGATCTCTAAATGATGAGGATGATGATGTTGAATCTTTTGATCATGTGCAGTAATATTAGGGTCCAAATTAGGATGATGATACATTTCATGATGGTTACTATCTTGTGCGGCGGAAGCATCGGAAATACTTGGGACCATGTAAGTTTGATGTGATGGTTGTGGAGGATGGAAGGAATGTGTGGGAGTATTTGGTGTAGATGACATCATGAGTGAAATTGGATCATTACGCATTTGCGTTGGTGATCCGGCGTAACCGGGGAAAGTGGGTGGATACTGCGCATATGGTGAGTATGGAGGTGCATTGTAATCTGGTTGCATTGGACCAGCATTGCCATTTGGAGCATGAGAATTATGGAAACCCATGTGACGATCATTTGCATAACTTGGGTTTATAGCAAGTGGATTGTAACGATCATGATTATCAGCGTAATGACCAGGACTACGACCACGAACTACTAAAGGAGCCGATTGAGACGTCGCCACACAATGCAACTCCCCGTTCTCGACTTGCGCAAACAAATCTACCAACACCACATAATATTGCTGAGCTGCACGACGTTTCCCGTTATTCGCGGTTGCCGTCTTGAATTGGATTCGCTCAAAGGTGACAATATTCGAATTAGTTCCAACCGAACTCAAACTCAGATTCCCGCCTGGACGAATCGGTTTCGGCTGTGGAACCATTTGTGGGCCTTTATCACGTTTTGGTGTATGTTGAACTAATTCGATTTTCTTGTCGCTATTGGACACTTTTGCTGTTATGCCCAAGTGAAATCCGATGATCGTGTGTACTTGTCCTTCTATTTCAAGTAGACATGGGACTTCTGAACCATCGGATGATTGATGATTGTTGTTTCCTTCGATTGAGAATGCACTGCTGATCTGGAAATAATTTCTACGGTAGCATGTCCAATCATTTTCTGCCAAAAAGAATCCACGATCAACCTTGGAATTGATACGAAGTTTATAGCTAATATCATGTTTGATGATAACGATTAGTAGATGTAGTAAAATATGCAATCGTGATGATGAATGATTAATAATAACCTAAGTGCTCTGTCCATACTCCAAACTTTCAGAAGTTGTTTGGTTGGCGAGAAGAATGGACCCGCATCAACAGGAAATCCCATCGAATCCGCCCTTCGTCTTCTGACACCTATTGGAGTAGCGGGAAACGATCCTGTAGCATAATTGGGTCTATCAACGACTTTTCTTTGCTCGGGAGCAGATTGAGGTGTAATTGGTGTAGTAGGTGAACCAGTTTGACGAGGAGTTTCGGGTGTATTTGGAGATGAGATTGAGACATAACTATTGGGAATTATGAATTGATTAATGAATGACACTTTTCAATACGTCCACTACGATATAAATAAAACTCACCCTTGGTATTGAAAAGGCCTTGCGGGCGTATCAATGTCTTGTTTAGTCGGTGTATACAACTGACTATCATTTTCATGAACTGACCTAATAAATAAACAAATAAATAATAATTAATTAAATATTCTGTAGATGCACAAAAAATGTTACTTGTATTAATACAAATAGTTTGAGGTTCCGCAAGGAGAAAAACAAAAAATCTTTATGACGATGTTGTTGTCGCGTGTGTGTAATGTAACACGGAACCAATGACCCAAACAAGTTTTTTTGTACAAGATGCGAAGGAAATACAAACATAAACGTTCGGTGACCAAACGAAAGTCTCCAACAAAACAATAACAAACTGTTTTCTTTTTATTGCTTCCTTTCTTGATAACAAATATACTTACATTTGTGATGGGGTTTCATATTCGTAGTTTGTAGGCAAAAAATTTTCAGAAGAGACGCCTCCTGCTACTGCTGCTGCTGCTGCTGCTGCTCCGTTCATTTGGCCATTGTTATTCAGTGTAGTAGGGTGTGGAAGATGGTGAGGGGATGGAGAGACTTGTGGTGATTGTTGAGGTGGTTGCGATTGCGACGGCTGTTGCGACGGCTGTTGCTGCACGTTTGACCACTTTTCCTCGGCGACATTCATTCTTTGTTGATGAGCAAGACGTGAATTGTGTGAAATTTATTCTCAATAGAACTTTAGCAAAAATAATATATTGATGACTTTGTTAAAAAAAATTATTGTTATATTTTAAAATAATAATAATAATAATAATAATAATAAAATAATAATAATAATAATAATAGTAATAATAATAATAATAATAATAATAATAATAATAATAGAAATAATAATAATAATAATAATAATAATCACTACTACAAGTAAAGGTGTTTAATCCGCAGCAAGAGCGAATATTTTTTTCGTGAAACGGAAAGATGTTCGACAGTAGTCGTGTTGTGTTTGTTAATATAAAATCTAATTTCGAGAAATTTTTGATTGTTTTGGTTAAGAGGGTAAAGCAAAGTAAAGCAAACGCGCACACTCACACAAACGGTTGTTTATATTATATTAAAAATTTTGAGTGGATGATGGCGATGATGATGATTATGATGTTGATGACAACTTTAATGAATTTCGAATTCAATTTTAATCGTTTTACCTTCTTGAGAGGTTTTAGAAGAACAAGAAAAAAAATCTTTTTTCTTTGAAAAAAAAGAAAAGAATATTTCCAAGGTATATAATAAATGATATACAATATAAATGATGATGAGAATAATGTGTATTATATTATAATGATGAATGAAATCCGAAATCGAATATTGAATATCAAATAATAATCATAATAATAGGAAATAGTAAATCACAGATTGTGATGCCTTAACACTGATGACTGATGGTAAAAACAATGATAATGGTAATGGTGACAATAAATTCAGCAAAAAAAAGAAATGTGTTGTGGAATTAAATTTGTTAAAGAGGGAAGAAGCTACTTTTTGTATCGTACAAGAACACAACGTACCACATAAAAAGTTACACCACACGATGCAATCTCACAGTTTATTGGTGTATCGTTTCCCCAAACATTTCCACTGACCTTTCTCCTTTTTAGGTGTGTGTTGTGTAATACACCACTTTTTGTCTCCTTCACACGCCTGTTTCCACTAGTGGTAAGACTCAAGTATAGCACAAAGTAGATGTTCGATTATACTGTTAGATTACGCTATCTCATTAATCACAATCATCATCATAATCACCTGGTGGTTTACGGGAACACAAGAATTATCTTTGATTGTTCTTTCTGCATATATTAATTTCTCGCGGATAATCGATAAACATGATTCTGTGTCAGATTGTGTTATTTAATTAATTGAATTAATGATAAGAGTGTATGTTTCTCCATTTTCATTGGGTAACTTGTTTAGAATCGAGTGACTCACCAAAACTCATTGAAAGCATGATCTTGCGCACGCACCATCAGTTGCACAGTATACAGATCTTCCGCGTGCCGCATGACAACTCTTTAAGCGTCTACAAATTTTTTTCCATGTATCGAGTATTGTTGGAAGAAAAATTTTTTTCCGCAATTAATTGATTATCTTTTCATCTTATTCTCTGTTCGTTTTCTTTTTGCTATAGTTTCTTAATGAGGTTCCGAAAAGTTTTGCGTGTTAGGTGTTTTTGAATTGGGAGAAAGAGGGTGGATGGCAGAAAGAACGCGTTCAACTTTTAGGAATTGGGAAAGGTGGGATCTTTTATCCTATTATTAAAAGATAATTTTTGTTTAAAAACCCTTTTTTATTGCTTATAAGTTTTTGTTTTGGTGCATTATCAATAAATTAATCATTTGGTTTTCAAAGAGCTTAAACACATACTTGCCAATAAACACTCTATGGAGATATTATTGAAGTTAATAAACACTCTGTGGAGATGTTATTAAAGTCACTTTTATTATATTCAGATTGATTCAACATCTATTATACACTTTTAAGTATTCGTTAGCTAACAACCCATATTATGATTGAGATTAGCTACCTTGACATAACAAATATTTCGTTTTTACACGCATAAATCTCTTTACTTTGCCATTGGGAGGATGGCGAGCTATTAATAGACGAGAAAGAGTTCACGTCCACAATTATTTACAATCATCAAAGCAAGGCTAGATATGAGACAAGCAAAGATATGGTACTATATTACATTATATACACACGGAAGTAACTATATTACATTAATATCGGAGTTTCAATAATTTGATATTTTAATATGTATTTCCAAACAACTTTCTTTAGGTTAATCGTATTTTATTATCCACCGGCATTTCTATACGCGACCTAATTAAAAGAGGGGGATTTGTAAATACTTTTGGGGAAAGGGAAATTTTGAGCCGCAAGGCGAAAATGTTCATCAAGGTGGTTTTTTAATTATATATTTTTTTACTATATACTAATGACTTTACTATATACTAATGATTTTACTTATATGCTAATAATTTTACTTTTGGGTAGATGAATTTTTTTCCTTTTGGATAGATGACGAATATTTACTTTTGGATAGGTAAAAAATTTTTTTAAAAGAATAATTGATTATTAAATCATCATAGAGTCGCCATATTCATATGCAGTTGTAATAGAAGCCGAGATGAAAGCCAATAGAACCGAGGGGTGATCATTCAGGTAGTGCTCGAACGAGTTATAATTCCATCGACCTAAACATCGAATGTCGGGTTTTGTTCGTCCTTGAGCAACCAAATCCAAGACACCACCAGCACGAAAACTGTACCTCGACGCATCGCCATTTGGTAATAATGGATCGAGTTTATGCAGGAACCATTTTCTTGAAGCGACTTCACCACCTTTGAAGCAAAAGAATGGATCTCGATCTGACGCGTACCCTTCTTGTGTCCGAATTCGACAGTAATTTGATAAAGCAGTTAACGGGCAAATGTCATCATTCGAAGGACATACAACGAGATGTCGGATCTTGGCGTATTCGTTCTTTTGGTAAGGTATTCGAATACACGCGTATGGTACAACATAGACTTTTGGCGCTTTGACCTGTTCAACTTCGATTTGTAACGGTTCCTTTGATTTCGTGTTTGTCACTAATTCGTTGATTCGAGCGAGTGAATGAAATGCCAACGTGCATAAACACCAAAACATTGCATCTTCAGTATCCTCGAGATCGAGATGGGTCTTGATTTCGAATAGGATTTCACGAGTGATTGGCAGCTTCTTTTCCGCTAACGAAAATGGATCAGTTACACATTCGCCATCCAACACCACCAAGTCTTCGATTTCGTCATCTTGGTCAATAAAGATCGGAGAGGATGCTGTTGATATTGAGGAGGAGGTGGTGGTGGTGGTGGTGGTGGTAGTTGGCGATGTTGATGAGATGGGAGATTCGATATATTCCTCAATGACGATACAATCATCCGGACTATGATATTCGGGAGAACAGGAAGTTGTTGATATTGATGATGAAGAATTATTATTATTATTATTGAGGTCGATCTCATTCGAAGGTTCAGAATCAAGATCGTATCGATATTTGAGTGGTACATCGAAATCATAGTCATCGATCTGCATATGTGAATGTGGTGCTGGTGAATAGGATTCAATATCGATTTCAACATCATCTGATTCAATATCAATATCACTCTCATTATCCATGTCAACATCAGTTGTTTCATATGGGCTGAACGGCGAGGGCGGCGTGTATGGTAAAGAATTCAGATCTACGACGAGTGCAGTCGCAAACGCTTGATCAAAAACATCATCAAAGCCATATTGAGATAAATGATCCGGTGTGTATTCTGGAGTATCCGGAGCCCAATCCGATATCCGGTAAGAGTTGGAAGACGAAGCTAAGATTCGAGACGAAGAATCGTCTTTGGATTTGTTAGTAGCGGTAGTCGTAGTAGTATTGCATTGATATATTAGATTGCTGCTAGTGTTTGTGGCTGAATGATTCATTACATTGCTAGCGTTGGCTGAATTAGTAGTAGTTGTCGACGAGGTTGTGGAATAACAGTTGTAGCTTGGGTTATTTTTTTGATTTGTTGCCGCGGTGACACTATTAACACCACCTGTGGTTTGAAGAAATGTCAATGTCGACGACGAAGCCGAAGACGACGAAGAAGGCGCAGATGATGCTAGAAATGCAAAAGATTTGTTATTTAGCCATGTATTCTTCAAAGTTATTTTCTTTTTATGCTCATAGGTAAAATTGACGGCTTTCGTAGTAGTAGCAGTAGAACCGTAACGAGAAGAATTAGTGGAGGACAACTTTGTACCAGAATTTGAATTATTGAGGCTTTTGGTCTGACTTCGAGTGACGGGTCTCTCAAAAAAGATAGCACATTTATCTTGAACGGGCATTTTTTAGGCTTTCCAAATGTGTTACTATGTGTATGTGTGTGCGTGTTTTGAATAATTATTATGGAAAGCAGCGAAATAGGGTAAGGTGAGTATAGCAGTATTCATATAATAGTAGTAATAGTAATAACACTAAATCAGTTACTGAACAGTCGTTATTCGTATTATTATTATTATTATTATTATTAGTATTATTATTATTATTATTAATGTAACAATAATAATAATAATATGATGATGATGATGATAAAAAAGCGAGTTTTCGTAAAATAAAAATTTTGGGTGTTGTGTTTATTATTTTGAATCGGATAATTTTCGACTGCACTACTGCTGTTTCTGTTCCATTTGAGTCAAAAAATTTATTGATTATCCTCCACCAATCAGACGATAATGTATCACGGTGATAATTAAAAACAATGCGGTGATAATTGTTTATTATTCTTGACAAAGTGTGTGTGTTAATATAATTTTTTTTCTACGCTCGATCTATTCCCTTTTTTAATTAGTCACCGTAAATTTCCGATCTTGTTTTCAAGAAATTCTTGAAAAAATTAATTTCCTGTCAATGAAAAAAAAATTGTTTCGCTCTTTTTTTCTCAAATTTTTTAGCATTTAACAATTATGTAAGGTAAGGTTGTGCAGGTAAGTGTGTACGTGTAACTTGAAGAAATAAAGTAAAAACAACCGCATCATCGTCAGATGAAATTAATAAATGACAGGTTTGCAAACTTGTCATCATTATCTAATTAATGAAAAAAAGAGGATATAATTTTTTTTTTACATTCTCTTCTTTTTTATTTTCGTTTTTTCGCAATTGATTCGTTTCATGTTTTCTTTTCTTCATTATTAACGGTTATTATTGTTTTATTCGTTATTGTGAAGTAGTTTATCACACTATTATCACGCATATTTAATAAACATGAAATATTAGTTTGTCACCCGACAAATATTATTTATTGAAATGAAAAAGGAAAAAGTAAGGGTCACTGGCAAATTTCCCTGCAAAAGCAGTATGAAATACAGCATATTCAATCGACGAAAAGCAAAAATAGCTTTAATTAAGGAGACGGAGACCAAGGAGAGAAAAACAGTGAGCGAGAGACAAAAGACTCGCGGACAAAGCCAATCATTTTCCACTCGACATTCTAAACTTATTATGGTAATTGAAAAGGCTGGTTATTTCCTCAGCGGGAAAAGACAACATGTACAAATATAATAAACTCTAAGCACGAGGCTGCGTAAATAGTATGAAACGACGCAGCGGCAGCTAAACAACTATGCAGAATAATGCAAAAAGAAAGTTTGGCGAATCATGGACGAGAATAAACTAATTAACTACGTACCTGGTTCACGTTCACGTAACGTGTATTATCTACTCTCGTCACACACTAAGCTAAATTGACCGTCTGTCACACTAAACACAAATTACGCATTTTAATTATTAGTCTTTCATTGCCATGTCATTAAAATCAATTCCCCAAGAAAACTTGTTACCAATAAAAACCCCAGTGTGTATTTAATACCTATATGGTAATCGGTATCGTCTTGACATTTATTAATTTTTATGTCACATATTACACGAAAATTCTGATCATCACTATTTTCTGCTCATGCTAAAAAAACTTTGCAAAGCCTCCAAATCAGGTTTTTTACTAAAGTCACAATAACAAAAGATCTAAATAATTTTATCAATTGATTTTTGATTCTAATTGTTTTGTAATATAAATAAATGTCGTTTGTTCTTTTAAGAAAAACAAATAAATAAATAAAGATGACCTGAACAAATTTGGTCTTTATTGATTGTGTGCAGTTGTTGTAAAGTCTATCGATCATGTAGCATTCGAAGTAGAATCTAATTCAACGGAGAAGAAGAGCGAGTTGGTATAGCGAGAGAATACGCCAGTTTGCTTATATTCTTGCTGTCTTTTGATCATTTTTGATTACTTTACTATTATAGCAGAAAATAGTGACAAAATTTTGACGCCAAAATTTTTCTTGTCTGCGTGCATTTTGCGCTGATCCATTCATTGATTCATTCTTCTTCCCCTCAATTTTTTATGAATTTCACCCTAACGCTGCAATGCAAGAGTATCCTGCAAGGAGACAGCATGCACAAAACGCCATCATTATGACAAAATGAAGAGTACACGGAATTACAGTCGATATATCGACGTGTAGATTTATGTTGTCTACAATAGGATCTGCACGTCGGATATATATCGAAAGTTGACTGTATTTGCTATCCATCGTGAGGTGCACTTGGGATCACGCATTGTCCAATGATATCTCGTTAGTCATTGATCTCTACCCTTTCGCGTTAGTAGAAATTCTATTTTTCATGAGTAAATAATCCATAAGGAATGTAGAATGATGACAAATATGATTCCCCCGGATGATCTCTAGAAAAACGTGGCGTTTGAAAATCATTACCTTGATCCAATTTCTTTCTTGTGCAAGTGTAGCATCGAAAATGGTTGTCTACCTTAACTTACTTTTTTTTTTGAGCGGAAATATGAAAATGACAAATTAATTTCTGCTCTTCACCTTTGATCAAGTGTTTGTTTGTCCTGTTGAAAACTTGTTGAAAAATAAATTTGGAGAGGGGTGAGGAGACGTTATTTTCTTGTATACGCAAGATCTCATCAATCACAAATATTATTCATTGCATGGATGCTTGTTAATTTTAGAAATGAAATAAATAATGATAATTTTTTATTTTCGCGCGCGCGTATGTGTGTATAAACAATATATAATATATATACGTTGTGTGTACCAACTAGGACAAACAAAAACGTGTTGCAAAATTAATTAATATGTATTCGATTGATTGAAGATGATTTACCATATCGGAACATGCCAAAATAGGAAGGTTTTTGTGGGGTAAGATTGGTCGAGACACGTCAAAAATGACGCGTTTTTGGTGACGAGAAAGACGACATTGTCGCTGATACATAATGATGAACGTTCTGAAGAGGAATAAACAACGCGCTTTCGTCTTCTTCATTATTAATACATCATCATTGTGTGTTTACACGTAATGGGTAATTTTTTGTTTGTTGGTTATACACACAGTCTTATAACAATAATAGTAGTAATAATAATAATAATAATAATAATAATAATAATAATAATAATAATAATAATAATAATAGAAAGATGATTATATGATTACACAATTTATAATATATAAAATTAGGGCGTGTCGCGAAATTATTTATAATTGTAAAGGTTAAATTAGAGAAGGGGTTGGTCGATAGTTTTGATGATCGATGATGAATGAGTTATATGTCTTTGGTTGCGGGTGTTGTTGAGGTGAATTATTATAACCAGGATAACGATCAAATTAACGATTGCCCCTTTTTCTGATGCAATCCAAGTTAGAATAATAGTCGAGGTGGGATTTGGTTCTATAATTTTCACGAAAAGATCAATGATATATAATATTATTGAAGGGATCAGTGAATGATTTTTCAAATAACATACAGGATAGGAAATTAACTTACAAATGATTGTCTAGGTTGTGTGTGTTTAAATTCAACAATTAATATTCATCTTGTTCTCTATTATTCTCCGTTATTTTTGGCAAATCTAATGGAAATAGTAGAGAATCTACTCTTAATTCTGGTATTTTCGGTAAATCTTCACGTCGACGCAGTGCAAATTCTGTATTATGTAGAGAATCTGGTCAGTTTGTTGATGAATTGTGATTAATTCATGAAATAATTACCTGTTTTTGGAATAAAGAGATCCAACTGACCAGAATCCACAACTTCAGCTTCCTCAAATTCTATAAATTCATAATTTGTTGGTTCATATGATGAGGAATTTTGTGGTTCTGGCAAATTAATGAAGTTGAGCAGACGACTCGTGTATATGGCTACTTGTGAGTTTCTATTCGAGACGGATGATGATGATTGAGGTTGATTAGTTTGAGATGATGATTGTGGTAGTGTTGAAGTCGGAGGAGATAGTGTTGATGGTGATTCTTTAGCTGCCTCAGAAATGCGAAGTCTCTCAATTTCTGCAACAGTGAATTCGTGTTCTTTGAATTCAATATAGAATTTTTCTAGAATTGTTCTTAATTCGTGTACATCAGGACGTTTTGATGGAATAGCATCCCAGCACCTTTCCATAACCTCAATATAGCATTTAGGGGTAGCGGAAAGATGACTGATTGATGGACGAAGGCCTTTACATATATCCAAGGCTAAATGGAAATTATGTGAACGATCAAGAAGCGGAGGTTGCCCCGATGCAAATTCCCACATGACATATGCAAAACTGTAAATATCCGCTGCTTTGGTGTATTCTTCTCCCGCCATTACCTCGGGAGCGACATAAGGAAGAATACCATATACTTTCGGTTTGCTTTCGTCTACTATGGTCGAGGCTCTCTTGTCATCCAATGGGGTTGTTAGACCAAGATCAGCGATGAAAATGGATTGACAGCCTTTCTCGTCAACGTTTCGCAATAGATTTCCGGTGTGAAGATCTCGATGAAGAAAACCTGTGTTGTGAATTAAGCGTAATCCTTCGATAATTTCCTTTAACATTTGAAGTTTATCTCGCCATCCAACTTGGACAAAGTTCTTGTTAAAGTAACTTCTTATACTGCCTTCATTCGCATATTGCATCACAATTATATATTCGTCATTTGGACCCCGTGTAATTCCATAGCAACGAGGCATATGGTCACCAATAATGGCGCGATGATGTGTTTTAATCTACATATTTGATTTGATGCTTATTTAGAGTTGATGCTGTTTCACTCAAACACGCAATAAGAAAAGAAATAAAACAAACCTCTTCAAGGAATTTACTGGTAATATTTTGTGAATTATTTAGGCATTTAAGAGCAACCTTAGTGCGACCTTTACGAGCCCATCGATGTGATCTCTCACGCCATTCCCACTTTGGACCATCGGTCCAAATGGCAGAGTAGACTACACCCGAGCCTCCCTTACCAATCTCCTCGATATTATAAAATCTCTCATAGGGTATCCATTCCAGATAATCAGTTGCACTGGTAGAAGCAAGTTGTGTTTGTCTAATAAATTCGTCAAGTTCTTCACTTTGACTCGTCCACTTTGTAAATTTACGTTGGAATCGACGTGTCTGATAAGGTATGCACCAATGCTTAGGGCCTGGACGTTGGCACTCTCGACATTCTCCTGTGCTCGAGCATCTATAGTATGAAGTACAGAGTCCAGTTTTCGATATTAAATAATCGATACTGTGAATTATATCCTCGACTGTGTCATCCACAAACTGATTATATTGTCCCATTATCTGTTCTAGTTGAAGAGTAAGAGTTCCGCGAAGACGACTATATGTTGACGGCATGGCTATTGTTATTATTATAGTTTTTTAACATAAAAATATCATCAATAAGATATTAACACACGATGATTATCATCATACCACGCAACTTACCTTTATCAAAAGAAATATCCAATCAAGTTTAATATAATGAATGTGGTTGAAGTTTCGAAAGAGTGAGAAGAGAGTTTTGAGTCGACGTCAATATCGTTGACTGCTAGGATTTTGAAGTTTTCTCTTCCTGAGTAATAAAACTTCAGTTTGCGTGTTTCGTTGAATATCAAAACAACGAGAACAACGGCGACGACAAAGCTATGATATATTATAGCTTTTATGTTTGTCTGCTATTTTTTTTTTTAAGAAAAGGCCCGTTTTTTCGCGAGTATGTTATTAATATAAAAATTATTATTAATACAAAGAGCGGGGCCGTAAACTATGGTTCTTCTCTATTGCGGGCGCAAGGGGGAAATTTTATTGTTATTAATCGTCGTGGGAGACGAGAAAGTGAGAGAGCGAGAGAGAAAGAAGGAAAGCGGAAAAATAGAGGAAAGAGAAAGAACGAAAGTGCAAAAAGAATAGAAGAGGAGTTTGAATAAGTAAAGACAGTGGAGAAGAGGCATCCATGCTTGTCTATGCGGCTATTATCCAATAACAAGTTCTTTGGCGCGACGCGAACAACGTTGTGTTCTATGAAGCGCGTCGATTTATTATTACCTAATATTGTTTTTGACGCACAAATAATAGTGTTGTCAAAAAACCACGCAATAATACATCAATGATTTTAAATTCGGTTTTTTATTCAACTAAGGCAACAAACAACTTTAACAGCTCTTTGATTCATTTTCTCTTGTTAATTGGTTATCTACTACCACGTATAATAAAGTCATTTGTGTCGCTCGGAACAATTAATTGTACCAATGGTCATCAGAGTAAATTAAACACGATGGTGATTACCGGAAATGTATGTAGCATTTAAGCATGTCTTGGTGTCATCGTACAACACTACTTTAAAATCTGTACCAATCATAATATCGATATCTTGATCTTCGAATGCACAATAACGACAATATAAAGCAACGCACGTATTTTAAAAAAGAAAGAATGGAACTAATTAAGATCGTTCATTGGACACTATTTGTATTTGATACTCGCATTGTTATACATGTACTAACGATTGTCATTAGCATATCATATTGTGGCCATATGATTTATGCAAAAAACATTTCGAGAATACAATAAAGTTCCGACTACGTGCGTACATAACCATTTTCCATCATGCATTTTAGAATAAATACATGTACGTACATGTATTTATAAAACCATGCGTTTGAAAACAATTTTGAGCATTTGCCAAAAAATTCTTAGTCATTGCAATATCTGTGTTGCTCCCAGATATGAATAGGCGTGCGTTATCAAAAAATCTACACACATAAATTAAATAAATCATTTATTGCATTATTTGAGGTGAAAAAGCATTTTTTGGATGTGGCAAGTTGAAAAATTTGACACGTAAATCAGGTGTTTGTGAATTATAGACGTGAGAAACTTCTTGTATATTTAAGAGGAAAACTACTATCCTATATAGATTAAAATTAGGAGAAACATTAACCACTATTTCAATTCTGTTTTAATGTCGAGACAGTCACAATCGATAAATTAAATCTGACAATTTTGGATATAGGTAATTTTCCTCTTTCAGACAACCGTCACTCAAACAGTAATAATTTCTATGGATATATATATATATATATATATTTTACACTAAACAAAGGAGGCCAAGGAGTGGTTCGTCCACTCTGTTAACACTATTGTGATTCTGTAAATGCCATATGATTCGTAGTTGATTCTTCGGATCGGTCTTCAGAACGAACTGAGAAGGCTCGAACAGAATTAAATTGGTTATTAGCAAAGGAAATATTGCGCGATTCTGTATTGCTAACAAACAAGATCTACCGAATGCGATGGGTGTTCAGGAAGTGACACGCGTCTTGAAATTGGAAAATTTGATAGGGAATACTAATTTTGCGTGTTTTTTATTTAGCATAAATTCTCAAAAAAAAATACTATATAACATATTGATAGATATCAATGTTCAATTATAATTGTTAAATGGAGCAGGTTACTATGTAATTTCTAAATTTCACTCCACTCCGGAGCCATAATTATATAAACCCAAACCATTCCATGCTCCACATGGAGTGACCGGAGATCTATTTTAAAAATAGCCAATGAATTAGTTTCATGATTAAAGTCCAGCCAAAAAAATGAATTCGTTTTTTGTTAAGTCTAATGAATTAATAATTCTGGTAATTAATAATATTTCTGACGCGAAATCACTAATTCTCCAAGGTAGTGAAAACAGATTCGAAAATATAGTATTTTAATATTGTTAGTGTTAGTTTTTTTATGACAAAAGAGAAAAGACAACAATAGAAGGGCTAAGCGAATGTGGGTAAATAAATTCGTGATTATTGTTTCATCAGTCTGAAAATATATATTGACCAATCATATATAATTCGTGAGTATTATGCAATGAATTTAGTTAGTTAATTTATTAACAAATTTATCTATCAATGTGTGTTTTAATTGATTTAGTCATGCAATTTTTTTATATAACTTTATTTATTCAAATGTCTCATAAACGTAAAATATCTACTTTATGAGGGTACTATAGAAGAAACACTAACAGAACATACTGCAAGATCAACAAGCAAAGATGAAAGCGATGGTTCAGTTTCAATAACTTCACGTGAAACTTCTTGGATCTGGAAATTTTTTTCAAGGAATTTAATGATAAAAATGAAGTAACAAACTTTGTTGCTCAATTTGCAAAGCTCGTTACAAACCTTAAAATACGCAGGTACACTCACCAAACATTTGCATAAAAAATACAATGATAAAATCAATAATTCACCAAATACTGCAGATAAACATAAAAGTAAGCCATATTTAAAACAGACAAATGATACCAATATATTACAAATACAATTGTAGATTTCATTGTTTGTTGTCAGCTTCCCTTTGCAGTTGTAAATAATCCTTATTTTGCAACCATGTTAAATGTATTTGATGAACATTATCAAGTACCTTGCCATTAGACATGTTTTGTGATTTATGCAGTTTACAGTGATTTAAGTAAAATTGCTAACTATAGTGATTGTTATAAGTATCCAGAATTTAGTTTTTTTAGATACAACTTCACAAAAATTCATTTAAAACATATAAAATTTCATATATATATATATAATACAATATGGGAAACAAGTTTATCTAATATTATAAATACACTTAAATTAATAAAATTTGCATAAATTTATGCTAAAAATTGTGAATTTGAATACAGTCAATCCTCTCTATTATCATTCTCTTTAATATCAATATCTTTCTATTATTAACATTTATTGCAGAACAAATTTTACTTGAACTAATATATTAATATTAACTCTATTCTTTGAGTTATCAACTCTTTTATATATCAATAAAAATAATAACAATAGAGAGAGTTGACTGTATTTAAAAACTAAGAAGAATAACAAGATTCTAAAAAAACTTTCACTAATCAATTTTGCAAATATTTTTAAGAAATATATTTTTATATCTTGAAGAATATATCTATAATTTTTTAATTGAATTTACTTCATTATTATTTCATAATGATCAATTAAAAAAAATATAATTTTGCTAATTTTTTAATAAATTATATGGTCTGGTTCAAAGTGATTCATACCTCAGAAAAAATTTAATAAAATTTTTTTCTACATATAACTTTTTATTTTTTTTAACAAAAAAAACTAATAGGTATTCAGATTTATTATATTAAAAAATACGTCAAAATTCATCGTTATCACCAAGATCGTCATTATTATCCATTTCATTATCCAATAAAATTACATTATTATTTAACTTCCGATATTCTTTTGCTTTTGCCAACGCTCTTTTCCAAAATCCA